GAAATGTTTACTAAAAACTGAAATACAAGGGAAGAGTTGGGAAAATTCTTTCAAAGCAAATAAAACCTACTTTGGGACCAGATTTGTACCTTAGTCACAGCTCTTCTATTTATTCTTTATGAATTAGCTAAATGACTAATGTTTGTAATGTAGAGGAAATGTTAAGGCTTTCTAACATACACATTACAAAAAGACTAGGTCACATTTGTAGCTAAGTAGTTACTAAGGGCTGCAACTGTGGCGCCAGATTGCTTATGTTTATATCCTGGCTGTATACTCTGGGCAAGTTACCAATTCTTTGTGTCCAGTTGTTACTTCAGTAAAATGGGAGTGATAATGGTATAAATTTCAGTGTTGCAGTGAGGATTTAGATGTCAGCTATGTTCAATATTATTAGTTAGCACAGTGCTGATTTTGGAGGTATAGATTCTCAAAAAAATTGAAACCTTGTTCTACTGCTATTAATTAATTTTTCTATCGTGTAGATTTCTTATCTATAAATGGGAATAGTAACCTGTACATCAAAGTCATAAGGATTCAGTGAGATAACATGCATAAAGTTAATGCCCTATGTATAAGTCAATAAATGTTCCTTGCTGTTAATGATTGCCACTTTCCAATTATTGCCAAGTTCCATATTTGCAAACATTTTATAGCAATTTATGTCTCATTATATGTATTTGGAGAGAACTGCATCTTACTTGATCTACAAATTAAGCTTCATCTTAAGGAATAATATTGCAACAATGGTTCTCAAACAGGGTGATTTTACCTACCAGAAATGAATGGTAATGTGTAGAGATATTGTTGGTTGTCACAACTGCAGGGAATGTTACTGACATCATGTAGGAAGGATCTAAAAATGCTGCTAAACATCCTGTATTGCACAGTACAATTTCTGGCAATAAAAATTTATTTATCCCGAAATGTTGCTAATGATGAACTTGAGAAACCCTATTTGACAGCTAGCAAAAAATCCATAAAATTTAGTGTGTGAAGTTCTTGCCAAGCAAATGGAGAAACACTCATTTTTCATCACCTGTATCAAATGGAAATAACATGCAAATTGTAATATGAAGAACCAAGCCTTAAAATATTTTAAAGTGTTGATATACCTATTTCTTCTGGTTATGAAAGTAATACAAGCTTGTAAAAATTAAAAGACTGCAAAAATATACATGGAAACACAACCTGTCCCCCTTTCTACCCGTTTTATAGTTTGATTTTTTTTCACTTACATATTTCAATATATTTAATCCTAAAGTCATTTTGTGGTACAAAGCAAGGTAGGGTCCCAGAAGACTTGTGTAAGGAGAGCACAGTATGGTGGGGCTGGTGGTCTGGCAAGGGGTACAGAGTTAGGAGGCATCCATATTTAGGGGTCACCAAGGCCAGTGAGGTGAAGAACACCAAAGGACAAACCTGTGCAGGGTTTAGAGCCCATATGGTAGAGGCAGCAAAAAGCAAAGAAGTATTGAAAGGATTTTGGAATATGTCAAAAGAACAACAATCAAGTTGAAAAAGCCATCACTGAGACACTTTGAGCATGAAAGTAATGTAAATAAAGAGTCAGTAACATGAAAGCACATTGAATGAAATAGGAAGCCATGAGTTCATTATGATGTAATAAATAAATGACTAAAATGAAAGTTTGATGAGAAATGGAATATTTATAAAGACGAAAATAACCTCTCCACCAAGAGGATATTAATTACACAGGAAAAATTAGTTGTACAGTGGAAAAGCCTAGAAACACCACCTTATCCGAATGATCATAGTTTATGTCAATAAAGAAGCAAATCATGCAACTTCCAGGTAGATGATTCTCCCCCCCTCCCCCGAACATTCATGCCCTGGCTGGTCTTCATTTATGCTAAGTGGGATTGACATGTGTAACCAATAGGATATTGCAGAAATGATGGTATGTAACTTCTGATGCTAGATCCTTAAAGATATTGCTCACTCTGGGAGAAGGCAGCTGCCATGTTGTGAGGACACTTAGGTAGCCCTTCATAGAAGGCCACACAGTGACCAGACGTTGTTTTTGCCAATAACTAGCACTAACTTGGCCACCATGTGAGTGATCCATACTGCAAGGCCTCTAGCCCTCGTCAAGCCTTCTAACCATTGCACCCCTTCCCGGCATCTTATTTGCAACATCATGAGAGTATCACCAACCTCTCTTTTCTGTTCCTGATATATAGAAATTATAGAAGATAAAATGTTTATTGATTTCAACCACTAAATTTTTGGATAATTTTATATGTAGCAAGAGACAGGTGCAGTGAAGAGAACACAGCATCTCTTCATTGATAGTCCTGTTAGAGGAGTGTAACCTCAGTCTGGTCCTGAAGAAATGGAAAACAATTTCTGATGTTTTCAGTGCAGTTTTAAGGATATGCACTCATTTATTCCTTGTAATAACCATGTGAGTTAGTTAGTATGGTCATTTCCATTGTGCAGGTGAAGCAACAGAGGCATAGAGACGCGTGATACTTGCCCAGTGTCACAAAGCTCTTAGAGCCAGTAGTCTAGTTTATCTTGAGTTTACAGCACTTAGCTGTACCTGGAATGCCTATTGTCCACCACCCACAGTGGAAACCTTACCTACCTTCAGCCACTTCTTGCACTGAAGACTCTAATCTTTCTCTTCTTTGCCTATCCTTCTCTTGAAAATGAAAATAGTCTTTTTTTCTTCTTCAAAATTCCATTAGTCCTTTTTAGAATATAGTTACAAAAATACTACAGTCTAAGCAGAACTTATATTATATATGTGAAATCCTCATCTCCCTCAATACATTATATTCTCTTTTAGTATTCTTAACTCTATAAAACTCCAACATATATTGCAATATTTTGGACAGAATATGAAACTAGTATGAGTGTATGAATTCTCTCAGGGATATATATTGAAATATTTTATATCTTGAATAAAAAGACTACAGAGATTTGTATCTTTCATATTCTACAATATCAGGAATTGTAAAATGATGTGATTAGACATTTTTTCCATATGATGATCTGTACTTTTCTTTAGTTTATAAGGCATCAAATACTAAAAAGAGTGATTAATTTTCATTTGTATAAGACCTTTTACTCTGTTCACAGTTGGAAATATCAACTTTGTTTTCACCCACAACTGCAGCTCCCTTTTCTGTTAGTGAGTTGTTTAGGGACATCAAAGGTAATAAAATCAATCAAAGAGATAAGTGGACTTTTTTTTTTCCAAAGGTTAGTACTTAAAACATGTGTTCTTGTTAGAAATTTTAATACTGAATTTGTTGTCAAGTGTTTGTGTCAACAAGAAGAAAACTGTCCTTGAATCCTGCTTTGTGTGAAATAATAAAATAAACCCTTTTCCACATATTTAGTATTTTTAAAAGAAAAACTTCAGGGAATGTTAAGTGTTGACATTTGCCAGAATTATACTTGTTGCTAGCAAAGGCAATAGTATAACCTTCAGGCCAGTTGCTTCCCTTCCCCTAAAGAGTTCTTTCCTTTATGCAAATGTTTCAGTCAAAGCTGAGGGGTTTATTGTTGAAAGCTGCAACTACAAGCCAAAGAGGAAGTTCAAACAAATATCATCGTTCTTTCAAAAATGACATTGCTTATGTAAATTAACTATGGTTCTTGGGTGCTAGTGAGCCTCAAATATGCTTGGATCGGTTACATATTCAATCATGTTTTATTTGTATTTAATTTGAGGTATGCTTCTTCTATAAAGTGTTAGCCATGAAGTAATTTGATTTAATTTTAGTTCTTGCTTTTAATATTTGTTTTAGTTTTTCTTTTAATATTAGCTTCATACCTTGTGATTTCCAGAGGATGATTTAGCAGCTGATGTGTTATTGTGGAGTATTTTCATGAAATTTTACCGATTTTTATTTTTACTCTCATCTTGTCAATAGATTTAAGATTCCCCATACCACGATGATAACTAGTGATTTTAAAAAATAATCTTTTTCTTTGGAGATAGTTTTATATTGCCAATGATACACCATAAAATAGTGCAAACTAAATTTTACAAACTTTTTTTAATTTACAAACTTGATATAGAGGCTGAAGTATGTTCAGAACAATAGCAAAATAAAAACATGGATATTTTAAAATTTAGCCTACTTGAGTACTCGTCTTAAAATTTTGCCATGTTGCACTAGTTCTGCATGGGTTTTCATTCATATTAATGTGAAGTTTTTGATCATATCCTTTGTAAGTAAATTCATTTGGGGGTCAGCTGAGTTCTCCCTACCGTTTCTAATTTCATTGCATTGTGAATCTCCAAACTTTATTCAGGAAGGAATATCTTTGGGGAGACATGCCTTGCAACTAAGAAATCACTACCCTATATATTAGACGTATTTATGTTTTAAGTGGACATTTACTTTTCATATGTTAGCTGCAGATTTTTAGCTTGTTTTAAAGTAATTTTCAGAACTTCAGCGATTACTTATGTGTAGATGGTTCTTGGCAGGGGGTATCTTTCTTCTTAGATCTCTGTGCCTGTGATCCATATATATAAATATGCCATTGTTCTCAAAGTCTTTTTCTATCTGACTAGTGTTGTCTCCAAGTGCTTTGTCTCTGCTTCCTAGTGTTTTTTTTTTTTCCTTTGTGCCTTAGATTGTCATTTGTGTGAATGACTTTGTTTACATTCAGCAAAGATAATAAGTGCATTTTCTAATGAGCGAAGAGAGTGATACAGGAAATAAGGAGAAGGAATCCGCGGAGAGTGGGGTGGATGTCAGGGAAAAGAGGAAAGAAGTAGAAAATAAAAAGGAGACAGTAAGTAAGTATGAGGACTAAAGAGCAGAAGATAGACAGACTTTTGGGGGTTTGTGAAATCTTGGGGGCTGGTCCTGGGGGAGGGAGATCAACAGACCAGCATTTTCCCCAGGCTTGGGCTCAAGCTGGTGAAATGTATTAAAGAACCTCAACTGGGATTTGCTGAGGACAAATGCTGTAATGTATTAGTCATCCATTATCTGCTTCTATTTTTGCAGGTCCTGAATGATGACTGACGCGGGTTTGTGCGATATCCCTCCCAGTCCCTGTCACTCGCCATTGATAACGCACCCGCACGTCTAGCCCCAGCAGCTGGGCGAAAAGCGGCTTTAGAGAGAGCAAAGCTTCCGCTGGCGGACGGGACTGAAGTACTGCCGCCCTCCGGCTTTCTGCAGCGGTGGGGATCCAGACACTTCGCCTAATCCACCTGGCTGCCCTGCCGAGCAGATAGAGTGTGGCCGCTACAGGACACCCGCTGCGCTTCGGCTATGAAGTAGCTGCCGCTGGCGGCGCCTGCCCGACTGCCTGCCCCAGCCCAGCGCCTCGCTGCGGTCCTCCCCGGAGGGGCCGGAGCGGCGTGGACATGGCTGGCGTTCGCAGCCTGCTGGTTCTCCTCCTGGTGTTTCAGAGCAACTGTTGGGGTTACAGAAACCCGCTTTATGTCTTTAAGAGGTAGGTGTTTGTGTTTTCGTTTTGCTGGTTGGTTTAAACAAGACGAAATGTTACTTGGATGATTTCTGTGACTGCTATTGGAAATGTAATCATCGAACAAGAGTTTTGGAGAAATCGAAAAAGGTTTATCTACTTTTCAGAAACCACTTGGAAATTTGGCACAGTAACTTCTCGCAAAGTCCCCTTTACTGTACTGTAACTGCATTGCGCTGGCTTTCAAAAGTCCAGTTTAAAGTTGTAATTTCCAATACTAATCACTCCCTCTTGGGGAGGGGAGAAATTTCAGAAACTATAATTCTTTAGACTTGAATGCCTTCTTGTTTATAATAGCTTAAAAACAAAATGCCAGGATAGATAAGTGGTGGGGAGAAGATCATGGGTTTTAATAACTCACAAGAAAACATTGAGCTGCTTGCCCACGCCTCATAATTACCATATTAAACATTTATGCACTTGTACATTTGTAATTCACAACACAGTCTACCCCCCCCCCCAATAACTCTGCCTTCTAGCAATATTATTGGGGTTGTTTTTGTTTGTTTGTGACTAATAATTCTGGACACAAAATATTTTTTACATATGTACTGTGTTCTAGTTAGTATTTCTGCCGTAGGAAAATTGGTATGTCTGTGACGTTGTGAATATTTCATTAACTAGAAAAAAATAAAATTTTGACTGGTTTTTGTCTATTAGAGTTTTCAGTGTGTCCTGTTTGCTCTGATTATGTTTTGTTTACTAGTTAGGTATTTATTGCTCTTGGACTATAAAATGCAATTCGGAGTACATTTTAGAACATTATTTAATCATCATATCATTTACAATTTTTATTGGCTTTAAGTCAATAATCTTTAATTTAAAGGTAATAGAATTCCCTTTTTTCCCTTATATTAGGATTCCACTATGTTCAAAGATCTTGAAATTGTCTTTTTTTTTTTTTTAAAGGTTTAAAGAACCTACAAGAACATTTTCCAATGAATGTCTTGGTACCACCAGATCAGTCATTCCTATTGATTCATCAGATTTTGCATTGGATATTCGCATGCCTGGGGTTACACCTAAACAGGTGAGAGAAATTATATTATTTCATTATTTATTTGTTATGTATCAGTCTACTTCAAGTAAGGAAACTACAGCAGTGGTAACTTCTTTAAAATTAGGTATTTCCTTTCAAGCCTCCTTAGATAGGGCTGTCACAAAAGTAAGTAAGAAAATCTTTCAGCTATATTCTTTTTAAAATTTTTACTCATGTTTTTATTTGTGTTTTAGGATGGATCCTTGAAAATTTACATTTTTCAATTTTCAGTAGAGTAATAGCCCCCGTAATGCAGCATGTAAGAATGTATTAAAATATGAAAAAATATTCTAATAAAATGACACTAAGCAGCTGCATTTAAGAGAATAGTTTGTTTAAAACCTATCTCAGTCATAAGTTGACTGCGCCTACTACCAAGAACCTGAAAAACAAAACATTCTTCACTTTTAAAAGTTAAGAAAACCGTTCACACAGGTGGTTGATTGTGAATTTCTTTATCATGATTTTACTTGTTATTTGATATCTGTTTTGAAGAAATACTGTTAGAGCTCATACAAACGTGACTTATAGAAAGCATTTTGAGTAGGACCAGGTTACTGTTAGCACTTTCCCTATGTTAAGTACACACAAGAAGCTCAAATCCACTGCTGTCATGTGTGCAAGGTGTTTCATTAAGCATAAAAAGGCCAGATTAATTATGCTTTGCAGCCTGGCAGGAATTTATGTGTGTCATTAAAGGATAGTCCTCTCTTTTGAAGGGCTGCAGAGACCTGGGTGTTGTGAAGCTTCACTGACTCATTGATGCAGATAACATTCTATTTTTCTTTTCTTGTTTATAAGTACTGGAAAACAAAAATGTTCCACTTACTGATGAAGAATTCCTTTGAAATTGGCATGTAGAAACTCTAAAAAGATAAAGATCTTTGGGGGGAGGATCTAGGGATTATTAAGTATTTGAACACCTATGCATTGTGTAATTATGTGTGTATAATGATTTTTGTAAAAATGACCCTTGGCCCCGACCTACACCCATTGCTAGATGACCAAGAAGATGACTCTTCTACACAGTAAGTTGAGTTGTTAGTGGCCTGGCCTTTAATTCTGTAAGCTCTTCATTTAGTATTTAATCAAAAGAGAAATAGTGAGATTAGGAATCAGAGAGAACAAGGCATTTGCTCCCTTGTGATTAGTGCTTCTTCTTGTCTTTCCTCACTAATAAAAGTGACTTTTCCTCTATGTTTGTTCAAAATGACTTTATATTACTTCTTTTTAAAAATGTACTAATTGGTCTTTAAGCAGTCTTTTCCAAAAATATCATTACTTTCTCAAATAGTCTTTTGTTGTGGTTCATTATTATTCTTTTACTTCTCTTCTCATTATTTTACAGTAAGACACTTAAATTATTTACTAATAATAATAGGAGGTAACTCTGCTGGGCTCCTCCAGAAAAAGTTCTTGGAATAACTGATTATAAAAAAAAGTAGAGCAGTTCCATTTTCATAACTAAAATGTCTCTACTCATTATAGTCTTGTCAGAGTAATGCCATGAAAAAAGGATAAATATTAAGTAAATTACAATTTCTTATGTTATACAATCTGCTTTCAACTTTGTCTCTTGGGGTAGACGTTTGCTCGTTGCCTTCTCAGCATACAATTTCTTGTTGCTCTTTCTCTGAGTCTTTGTGATTCCCAGGAGCTGACTAGCCAGGATCCAGAAGTTTGACGCATTGAAATTATTGAAAATCGCTGCTTCTTGCCTCCCCTTCCACAGTGATTGGTTCAGACTTAGGCCAATGCAATGAAATCTTAGGACTTTTGCAGGAAATACAATTCCTGTTGCATGTTAGCAAAAGGCAGGTCATCCTAAGGTCTGTGAGTTTATGAGGGCAGCTGTACCCAGAAAAATACTCTAATACCAAAGACTTCAATGCAGAGAGACTAAAAGAATGCAGGTTCTTTTTTGACTTATAACTGAAGCAACCTATCAGGATCAATGATTCACTTGTTCATCCTGATCAATCAGAATCAATTGTTTACTGTTCTTTTCCTCTTTCCCCATGACTCCCTACTGTCTGGGTGCCAAAAGTACTTACTGACTTGGTGCCATGTCAGTGAGTATTTTATTATACTTTTATTAAGGAGACCCAGAAAGAGATGGATATGCCTGATTACTTTCCTTTTTACTTGGTGAAGTTGGTGAGACACACCCATAGTTGTGATACTCCCAAGTACTTTTGGTCAAGAAAGAACTGTTTTCTTAAAATACAGATAAAACTAAATTTAAAACCAGTTCTTAGCAGGAAAGGGATTATGATAAATAAGGAAAGTAAAAGTCAACATGTTTGGGATAGGGAAAGAAGGCATTTAGAAGTGAAAACATATTTTTAAGTGGTAGAAAATCAAAGGAACACAGCAAAATTGAAAGAAGGAACTGAGGAGCCAGAACTTCAGTTGACGATTAAGGCAGAACAAATTGGATTAAGCGATATATTCACTCCATCGATGCTCTATAAAATACTAACTTTTGGCAACTATGAAAGATACTTCAGCACATCTGATATAAATTTTTTCCTTGGAAAACCTGAAATTTTTAGGTGAAGCTGAATAGAGAATAAGCAGATGTGCATGGGGTGGAAAGAGCTGTAGATGAGTGTCCGACCAGAGTGCCAGTGGAGTGTCAGGTGCAGTGCATTTTGCCTGGGCGTCAGCTGACCACCAGCAGCCGATTTAATCGCTCCCATTAGACAAGATCTGCAGCATCTGGGGCAAGTACTTCACTATTGCAATGCTGATTTTATAATCAAAGTGAGCTTTTTTTTTCCTTCCTGACTTGGAATTTAAAAAAATATAATAATTTTCATCCTCTCATAAATTTCTTGTTAGTTAGTGCTTTTTCAGGCTTTATGTAGGGTGAAAAGTAAGCAGCTTTTGAGTAGCTCAGAGAAGATAGAAAATAAGTAGACACCAATGTCTGATGACTCAAACTTAGAGTCCTGTGGACCTTTGGAGAAGTTTTTTCTCCAGATTCATGCCACCTCTCTGTATCTCATCACAAAACATTTTTATAAAGATGCAATCATAAATTTGATTCACTATCTCATAGATTAGAGATTTTATTATAAAATCAATGACTTTACATAGAGTTGATTGTCTAAACCTAAGACAAAGTCATTTAGACTATAGGCTTTGGGGCCAGTCTGCCAACATTCTTGTCCTGGCTCTTGCAGACTTAACTCCAATGTCCTTGACCAGCTAGTTCTTCTTCTTCATCTGTGCAGAGATATCCAGGGTCACTCTGAGACCTGGACAAAGTGTGATGAGGTGCCTGAATATGCTAAGTTTTAAGGAAACCTTGCGCTGCTTTTTGGTTACATGTGCTATTAAAGAAAGTGTGAATAAACATAAAGTTAAGAAAAAAAAAAATGATCCACACTATGCTTTCGGTTATGATGGCTCGGAAAAGTTCTGATGTAATAATTTTGAAGGGGAGAAAATGTAGCCAAATGAAAGCAAAATAGAAAGTACAGACTTGGCCAAGAGAAATTTAGATACAGTCAGGCAGCTTATCTTTCAGTGTGCTTATTTTTGAATATTTTAAAAACTGGCCCTTATGATTAGAGAATGAAGGAACATCGAGATTAAAAACCAGTCCTTATCCTTAGTGAGTGGAGTTATGAAAATGGAGATGTTGTTTTCTTGAGTTTTTCATATTTATTTTATACTTTTGGAAAAAATTATCAGAAACAGTTCCTTCAGTATGAAGCCCAGTTTTGTTTTTTTTTTTTTTCTTTTTACTAGTCTGGATTTCTTCATTTTGCTGAAAACTTTGTACATTATGTTTATTTGAAAAAAATTCTTAGTTAACACAAGTTCTTTCAAATCTGAGGTTTAAAGACCATTTTATTTGTTACCTGCAAGTCTTAGGGCATCTGCAGTCTTGGGTTAGGGGGTTACAAAAGTAAACTGATATATAAAAATAGAAGTTTACAAAATTAAATATTATCTTTGAATCTAGTAACTTGAAATCATTTAACAACTGAGTTTCTTTTCATTAAGGTGTATTAGGCTGCCATCATTTTGTATTCCATCCTTATTTTTGGCGTGGCTTGAGAATTATGGAGGAATACACTTTCCCTTTCTGAATCTCTTGCATACCGTGTCTTATTTCTATTTGTCTTTTGAAGAGTTACAGACCATGCTTTGAAATCAGGAAGTGTTATTTACTGTATTCCTGAGTACAGACATCTATCACCTGGAATACCAAGAGATGGAAATATTAGGAATTTAAAAACTATATGTCAGATATGCTAGAGCAACAACTTGAAACATGTGAATTTAGATTATTAACTTCTGACTTACTTTCAAATAATGGGGAAAGAATGTAGTCACTAAGTAAATCCAGAGTGAACAAAGTATTCTACAAAATGTTTCAAAACCTTTTTTTTCAAAAATGAACAATCATTAGAAAGTGTTTACTAATGTATTTTCACTTTTTTCCTAATGGAAAAAGAGATTCCTCTTGGCTTCAACATGCATATGTAGTTGGATAAGAACCCAAGTTTCATAGACTTTTCTTACAAGTCCATTTTTAAATAGCAGATCATAGTTATTACATATAACCAGCATTTTCTCAGGATATATATTTATCAAAGAAATAATATACAAGATAAATGTAGAATTGCTGTGCTATCTTACTGTTCTTAATTTCATAATGTTGATTAAGTTTTAATTTTTCTTGCAAAGTCACTGAGTTGTATAGAAATTTGCTTTTTGACTGATTTTGATGATGTTACAGTATGCTAAATCTATATGCTTTTAATTCAGTCATTACAAGGGGATAATAAAATATCCTTGGAGTTTAAAATTCATGACAAAATTATCAAGGATAGCAGAAAAATGATATTTTACTGGAATAATTTTTAATTCTTTGTTGTGATTTGTTTGTTCCCTTCTTTCCAGTTATTGGTATATAAAAATGTTTACACTTTTAAAATAAAATTTCTAAATTTTCTTTTGGGCATGAGAACAAA